GTTCACCATGGAGGGCGTTCCCTTCTACAAGTACTTTTCCGAGAGAATGCAACAGTCGCTGAACTTTAAGGCAGTGCGCACCCTTCCGCTGATTCCCATCGATATTGCCATTCCTCAACTCGGACTGGACATTGTGGCAGTGAACCAGTCAAAACATGCTCAAAACTCGGTGTTGATGATACCGGAGAAGGTGTTTGCCTCGGAGAAGATAACTTTGCAAATCAGCACCCCGGCGACAGCTGCCAACTGGGCGCCAGCCAGTTTTCAGCTGTTCACCAGTGCCCGGCAGTACTACCCTTGGCCGTCCAGCACCAGCTCTACGCCGACCATGTCTAATTCTTCGCTGATGTTTTCGCCATTCGAAGAGGAGACAGTTGAAGAGTTCCCAGTGCCTATTCAGTACGGTCTGGGCGCACTGGACTTGCAGATCCATGTTCCTCCCAAAGTTGACCGCCACTTGGTTTCATTTCGACTAGTTTACCTGGACGGCGAGACGAAGCAGACTCGTACGGTGCTGCGGAAGCTCTGCTTTGAAGTGGCTCCCTGTCTTGATATTGAAGCTCGATTTGGCTCGGTGATCACACTGCGCAGTCTGCTGCCAACCGAACCGGTCGCCATCTTTGACGTCACCATCGGTGACGACCAGACGGTGCCCGGGGCCACCGACCCCGCCGATGCCTCTTTTGTCACCATCCCCGTTGGACATGCTGCTCACCTGCTGGTGTTAAAGAACTTTATCCGCTGGACGCTGCCAACGACACTGATCCAAAGCAATAACGCCGTTCCTGGACTGGTCAGGAACGGCATGATTCTTTTTAGCTAGAGATGGACCTCTTATATTCTTTGTTCTATTGTGATGATCAACCCAACTTCCCTTATTGGTCAAACCTTTATTTATTGTCAAAGTATAAAGTATATATTTCTTTAATGACGCCAACAATTGGGGTTGATTGTCTGACATCTCCGCGAAATGACATCTTCGCGAAACTCATAAGCNAGGGTTGATTTGTTGGTTTGAACGAAAAGTGCAAACACCAGCGTCGCTTGCAGCAAAGCGCACTGTTCTTACATCATTGCTGTTTCCACACAGGACGCCAATGGCAAACAGTACAGTGTGCTGTGCATGTGTCGCCGACAGCTTCGGTGTCTGTCGGTCAGCCAACCAAGATCTTCTGTATGCCTTCTTGTTTTGATCGTCTGTTTTCTTCTGGTAAAGCACCTCTCCTCACTGAGGTGACGGGATCAGGAGCCAACTTTGGATCGTCAGGTTCACCCTCTTTGTAAGTGTTTTGTTAAACGATCAACGGAGGCATCCCTTTTTCAGCCCAAACACCAGTTTTGTTGCTGTTTGTGCCTTTTAACAGCTGTTTTAAAGGTGTTTCTATTATCTAGATCATGGCGCTGCTTTTGTCACGGTCGTCGTCGGCCTTGATGAAGCGAAATATTCACCAATTTCTTTCATCACTTCGTGGTCAGAAGCTTCGTCAGTTTAAATCATCGTACCGGCAACTAACGGAGCATTTTCGATTATGGACTCGAGGAGAGGGCGACAAAGTTCCTGAAGGGTTTGGAAAGTTTTATCCAAAGTCAGGGAAAGGCAAAGCAGAATCGGAGACAAAAAACCCTCAACCACAAGCTAAACCTGAAAGCGATGCATCCAAACCTCGTGAAATTGAATTCAAGTTTTCCTTTGGTGCACCAAAAACTGGCGGCGGAGGCGGTGGCGGGCCTGGTGGAAAACCTCTTGACCCAAACATGTGGACTATGCTCGGGTTTTTTGGCACAGTTAGCGTGCTGATGGGTCTTTCATTTTTCAAAATGAGGTGAGTTACTATTTTTTTAATATACGTAAGGGCGACAATGTTTTGTTGGAAAAATCAGCCGCCCGATAGCAGCGCTTTTTTAGTTATCAGTTGAACCTGCATCAGGTCAGCCTAACTTTTGCCAGTTCTTATTTTGTGTTTGATGTCATCTAGGCTAGATGATCTAGCCAATGTTGCAAATATGAACTTTTTTAAAGTTTTTTGCCTTTTACTTTTAATAATTTTTTCAATACGTTGCTCTTACTATGCAATTCGCGAAATACTGTAATGCTTGAACGCCATAAACATTAGCACTTCATGATAAATCGATATTGACAAACTTTATTTTTTGCAGGTACAAAGAAGTCACATGGAAAGAGTTCATTCAGCAGTACATGGCCAGTGGGATGGTGGATAAGTTGGAGGTGGTCAACAAAAAGTGGGTTCGCATTCGTTTTCAGCAAGGTGCTCCCGTCAACTCAAACTCAACGCTGTGGTTCAACATTGGTTCAGTCGATACGTTTGAGCGCAATTTGGAGAATATTCAACTTGAAATGAACACTGAGCCAGCAAACTTTATACCAGTCGTTTACCGAAGTGAAATCGATGGGTATGTTGTTGTCCACCTGTTAATCAACCGGCAATTAACTTTTCCTTTTTAGCGCGAACGTACTCTCTTTCCTGCCTACTATTTTAATTATTGGTCTAATTTTGTGGTCAATGCGAAGAGCTTCCAATGTGATGGGCGGAAGCAGAAAAGGTGGCGGTATTTTTGGCATGGGCGAGTCTACTGCCAAGCTCATAAACCCGAAAGACATTGCAGTCAAGTTTAGGTGAGCTTTTAAAAGTACAGCTAAGTTTGGGCACATTTTTATTGACCATCATTTGTGGTTGGTGTGTTTCAGTGATGTCGCTGGTTGCGAGGAAGCCAAATTGGAAATTATGGAGTTCGTCAACTTCCTGAAGAACCCTTCTCGGTATACTGAACTGGGTGCCAAGATTCCCAAAGGTGCCTTGCTGACTGGCCCACCTGGAACCGGCAAAACGTTACTAGCCAAAGCCACTGCTGGCGAAGCAAAAGTGCCTTTCATTTCAGTTTCTGGCTCGGAGTTTTTGGAGATGTTTGTGGGCGTGGGTCCTAGTCGAGTTCGTGATATGTTTGCCATGGCTCGCAAGAACGCCCCGTGCATCCTCTTCATTGACGAAATTGACGCGGTCGGTCGAAAGCGCGGTGGTCGCAGCTTTGGCGGCCACTCGGAGCAGGAGAACACGCTCAATCAGCTGCTCGTGGAGATGGACGGCTTCAACACCTCCTCGAACGTGGTCGTACTTGCCGCCACCAACCGAGTGGACATTCTCGACAAGGCACTACTTCGCCCAGGTCGCTTTGACCGACAGATCTTTGTCCCCCCACCAGACATCAAGGGACGTGCTTCCATCTTCAAGGTGCACCTTAACCCGCTCAAGACAGACCTCGACAAGAACGATGTCGCCCGGAAGCTGGCCGCTCTCACGCCCGGCTTCACCGGTGCTGACATTGCCAATGTCTGCAATGAGGCGGCACTGATTGCTGCTCGAGACTTGAACGCCACCATTTCTTTCAAAAACTTTGAAGCTGCAATCGAGCGCGTGGTTGCCGGTCTGGAGAAGAAGACCAAGGTCCTTCAGCCTGACGAGAAGAAGACGGTGGCGTATCACGAGGCCGGTCACGCAGTGTGTGGCTGGTTTCTAGAGCACGCCGACCCACTGCTGAAGGTGTCCATCATCCCCCGAGGTATGGGTCTGGGCTATGCACAGTACCTGCCCAAGGAGCAGTACCTCTACACGAAGGAGCAACTCTTTGACCGCATGTGCATGACCCTCGGCGGCAGAGCCTCCGAGCAGATCTTCTTCAGTCGCATCACTTCGGGGGCACAGGACGATCTGCAAAAGGTGACCAAGAACGCCTACGCTCAGGTGGTGCAACTTGGAATGAGCGAAAAGGTGGGCAACCTGTCCTTTGACATGCCGGAGAAGGGCGAGATGACCATCGACAAGCCGTACAGCGAAGAGACCGCACAAATTATTGATAACGAGGTGCGCGAGCTGGTGGCGCAAGCTTACAAGCGTACCATTGACCTGCTCACCAAGCACAAGGCTAACGTCGAAAAGGTCAGTCTTCTTTTTTACTCAGTTTTTCGTCAGGACATTCCTAACGCTCTTTTCTCCTCACCAGGTCGCTAAACGTTTGCTGGAGAAGGAAATTCTCAACCGCGAAGATATGATTGAGCTGCTCGGCAAGCGGCCATTCAAGGAAAAGTCAACTTATGAGGACTTTGTCGAGGGCACGGGTAGCTTTGAGGAGGACACCACTCTGCCGAAAGGTCTTCAGGACTGGAATGAAGAGGCGAAGAAGGAAGGCGGCGACGATGTCACGAGCAAGTCAAAGTGAATCCACTAGCAAATCTTGTTCGTCCATAGGCTGTAGAAAACGGTGTTATCCTTAGTCTCTTACTTGTCCTTAATTTCCCTTCTTAAACGCAATCACGGGAGTTTTGTAGCTGTATTTTTATTTGTAATTCTGTCCATATGATCAATAAAGTCATTTGCCACTCGCCCAGTTGAAGGAAGGACAGTTGGGAATGTTTTAATTTATTGAGTGAGAAGAGTATACCGCCATACATGAAAAAATTGTGAGTTGGCATAGGAGAGAAGAGGAAAACGATGGAACCACCAGAAAAGCAAGTGAATAATTTGCTTAAAAGTAGATAGGTGTAGGTGTGTGTGGGCGTGTAAGTGTGTTTGAAAGAATAAAATACAGACCAAATTAGATTACAGGGGAGAAAGGTGTTATTCGACAGTTAAAACAGTTGAAAGATGTGAATAGATTGGTGATGACAGAAAAAACACACGCTCGCTTGTGTTGTGGGCATTTTTTCACGATACCGAATAAAGTCGAGGAGATAAAGAGAAAGCACGATTTGTGTGACTAGGCCCCCGATAGAGTTTGCTGTAGTACTCCACCTCAATTCGGATGTACTCGACTTTGCTGGGTGTTCTCGTGACAAGTGACACCGTGAGAGAATGCACTTGGAGCAATTGAAAAAGTGGTTGATTGGATGTCGTTACTTGAGGAGATTACTCGATTTTTTTATAGAAAGATTGCCACACTGAATGGGCTGGTAGTTGTGGACAGTGATCTCAGTCCCAGACTGACGCCTAACAGCAGCCTCCGCTGGAGCTCGAAGATTGACCACCTGAAGCGAGATTCGGGTTGGTGGGCGACAGCTGAGGGCCAATCTTGATGCCATTCGCCTACGAATAAAATAGAGCTGTGTTAATTCTATACGCTGTAAAGAATGTGCGCATTTGAATATCTCTTACCTCATTGTTAATGTCAAAAACGCCCTCTTGAATCTTTTCGTAAATCTCCCGAGCAGTGTTGATGAACGCCTCCTCGACGTTGGCGGCCGTCTTTGCAGAGGTTTCCATGAAGATTAGGCCGTGCTCTCGAGCAAACGCCTCGCCCTCTTCCNCACGCTGTAAAGAATGTGCGCATTTGAATATCTGTTACCTCATTGTTAATGTCGAAAACGCCCTCTTGAATCTTTTCGTAAATCTCCCGAGCAGTGTTGATGAACGCCTCCTCGACGTTGGCGGCCGTCTTTGCAGAGGTTTCCATGAAGATTAGGCCGTGCTCTCGAGCAAACGCCTCGCCCTCTTCCTTCTTCACCTCGCGACGCGAGTCGAGATCACACTTGTTTCCGATCAGCATGATCACCATTGAAGAATTGGAATGTTGACGAGCATCTTCCAGCCAGGTGGTCAAGTGGTTGAAGGTCTCTCGGCGAGTGATGTCGTACACCAGCAGAGCACCAGCGGCGCCTCGGTAGTACGAGCGAGTGATGGAGCGGAAAGCCTGCGTGTGGAAGAAATATGAATGAAAATGAAGGCTAATTGGGCTGCAAAAGGACGCCTACCTCCTGACCAGCAGTGTCCCAGATCTGCAGCTTGATTTGCTTGTTGTCGATGGTAATCATACGAGCACCGAACTCAACGCCAATAGTCAGATCGTGTACGGGCTGAAAGCGCTTGTCTGTGAACTGCAGCAGCAGGCAAGACTTGCCGACACCTGAAAAGTTTGGGAGAAAAAGAGTTTAAGAAATGGCAGAAAAGGCATTTAAATTCATTCAAATTCATACCAGTGTCGCCGATGATGATGTACTTGAACAGATATGCGTACGACATTTTGCGTTTCTTAAAAATACCAGTCAATTAATACACGTTGGGAAGGTGAGAATAGCAGCACTGTAACGGATGATGAGAACCAAAGTGGACGTAGAAATGATCACCTAGCAGAGAGAAAGAACTTGATAAATAAACACGTAAAAAGCATCAGCAAAGCAGCTGTCAGTGGAAGTAGTTGCTTTGCGCCCTGCTGCTGCTGGAGGATCTCAATTTACGGAAAAGGTGCTCACTTCAAACTATTGTAATTGCATTTAATTTCAGATGTTCAAGCTGGAGAGATTAGAATTCCCAGCGAAACACAAAGGAGCGTTTGTCTACGACTTGAAGTGTGTGCTGGGGTGCTATGTTGTTGCTCTCTGGTCGCACTGGCTGATGTGTAAGTCTGTGCACAGAGAGACTGGCAGACTGTCAACACTGCGCCTGCGGACCGAGTACAGTCACTCTGGCAAATCTTTACCGACAATCGTGTGCAATGGCAGGCCAAGCAGTAGGCCACTACTATATAGAGACAGCCGCCAGAGATGGGCCGCAGAGTGGCTCGTGTGCAGCAGCACTGTACAGGAAGGCACTTCGGTGGGCAGAGAGCACTAGGCTTAGCATTCTGCAATTCAGATCACCGCGACACATCAGCAGCGAGCTCGGATAGCATCAGAGTGAGTTCTGCAAAAGTGGTTCAGGAGGCTGCTGTCTAGTGATGCTGCTGCTGCTGCGGCGACGGCGGCAGAGAGACTGTTGCTGACATTTACAAGCAAGGTTCACGGCCTGGAATAGACTGGACGGCAAGCTTGAGCGACTTACCGATCCAAAATGGGTGCCTTGTGAAATGAGTGCTTTTGCAGATTAATCTCGCTTGAGTGATTTTTACAAAAGAACAAAAAGAGAGGATGATGCAAAAAGATGCGCTAATTCAGCTGACTCAATATATACCCTCGCCTGGAAGGTGGCTGTCTTGTGACCATAGTTGGTACACTTGACAAAAGCAAACACACTCCTGCTGTCACTGGTGTGCAAACACAAGAAGGCGCACTTTGGTGGGAATGAGTCATGAGTATCTCTTTCTCCGTATTTCTCTATCACTCTATCACTTCTGGTAGCATCGACTTTACAGAGAGGGCAACTGTGGGCGCGCTATTCTCAATGTTACGCAATAGTAGTGGTGGTAGTGTCTGCCAGAAACTTTACCAGAAATGTGGTCCAGCCAGGCAGCGAGTGAAGTACAAGTTCAAAGTGCTTGTTGAAGGCGAAAAAGGCGATAAGCTTCGATTAGCCAGCGACGAGTTGCGAGGTGCGAGATGACGAAGTAGTAACTGTGGCTAGTGTCGTCGCAGGATGTCGCATGGGAGACTCAAACGGAGACAGGTGGTGCGTGCTGAATCAAGGAGAATACTGCTGCTTGAAGATGATGCCAATCTATATACTTTCTTGGCAGGTCAACACTGCTGCTGCTGCTGTTTCTTCTGTTGCTGTCACCGTTTGCGATGGACAGTTTGGGAAGTGTTTCTATTCTGATTCAAAGTGGTGAGTGGGCGTAGAGTGTGTCAATGCGTAACAGTTTGGGTGTTCGCAAAGCTTGAGTGTACGACAAAACAAAAACTGTACAGTAGTGCTCTTGGTGGATGAGGCAGCAAGTGAGGACGAGGCAAACAATCAGTTTTTTCTGCGAGTCGCAGGCTTTCGCCACGCTACCTTGTGGCAGAATGCATCAGCTGACGGATGATGGTGTTTTGTTTTGATGCAATCTTAGCTCTGTAAGGTAATCATACCTTTCCTCTATCTCCCTGGACCTACCTGTCAGCCCTGTGTTCCACCATTACCGGCGATGCAGCACCCAAACGTCCTCCCGCCGGCTGTTAGACGCCTTCGAGGCGGGACGCCTGGTCTGCCGAGGGCGCCCAGTGGTCCCGCAAGTAGACGGGCATTCTTTGTGCAGCGAGACTACAGGCCATCCTCCTGGAGCGAATTCTTTGATGAGAAGAAAGACCTGCACATGGAAAATGGCGATGTCTTTCGGGTGTACTTGAAGATGAGCAGTGACGCAAGTGCACACACCTTACCATTGTTGGTCCTACTTCACGGTGGCGGATTCTCCGGATTAACATGGTCCTGTTTTGTACGCTCCATATCTGAGCTTTGTCACGTGAATGCACTGGCTATTGACTTGCGCGGCCATGGGTCAAGCAAAGTGGAGAACGACGATGAACTCGATGTGGATCACTTTGTCAGTGACATCAGTCGAATTTTGTTGAAACTGTACTCTGAAGACGATATGCCTGAGGTATAGTTGATGAGGCTGACGATGACAATGACCGCTTATCATCAATTGTTATTTGCAGATCATCTTGATGGGCCACAGCATGGGAGGCGCTATAGCCATTCACTACACTGACCGGTGTAAGGAAGAGACAATCAACAGTCGAATTGTGGGCCTCATTGTGATTGACGTCGTGGAGGGCACCGCAAAGGATGCTCTATCGCAGATGCAGCAAGTGCTTCGATCTCGACCAGGCGGCTTCAAGTCTGTCGACTATGCCATCGAATGGTACGTGCGAAGTGGACAAGTGAAGAATGTGGAGGCGGCCAAAATATCGATGCCAGGGCAGATCAAATCGGCTGAAAGTGGCATTTGTGCGACTGATCTCGTAGAGCCCACCGCCGCCGAAGAATCGTCTAGTCAAGGTTCTTGATTTTCTATTTAGTTGTCTTTCTTTACATCTTACAATATTTCATTTATAGAGCCAACACTGCCACCTTCATCTTTTGGCCTGTCGACGGTGTCTGAAACCGAATCCGCTGACACTGCCGAGCATCCCTTTGTCGCACCAGCAAACCCCAAACTACAGCCCTCACTACAAGCTTTTGTGTGGCGAATTAATCTCTCCAATACGGAAAAGTACTGGGCAGAGTGGTTTGAAAACCTGTCGCAAATATTCCTCAGCTCTAAAGGTGGCGCAAAGATGCTACTACTTGCCGGTGTTGACCGCCTGGATGGGCCGATGACTGTCGGCCAAATGCAAGGCCGATTTCAAATGAACATCCTCCCCAGAGTGGGCCATCTCATTCAGGAGGACGATCCGGATTCAGTGGCACAGGTAGTTGCCTCCTATCTCATTCGAAATCGATTTTCTGTCTCTAAAATTGAGTTTGAACATCCATTTCCTTCTTGCTGATGCACAAAAAGTAAAAAAAGTCATTATATTTTGGTAACTAAACTAGTGTTTTTATTGTAATTGGTCCACTGCTTTCATCAACTAGTTAAATGTGCCCAGAAAGAGTTAGTTAAATAGTAACAGGAACAATGGAACACAGTGAGACTGTCAGAGTGTCTTCTTTTGGAGCAGATTTGGCAGGCAAACAGAGATGATTGGGTGAGGGTGAGTGTGCATGAACATCACTGTACCTGGGCAGGTCTTTAGTAAGCCTGAACAGCTCGCAGGTTCTGGGCAGGCACATGTGACTGCACTGGACTATTCTGCACTGTCTGTCCATCGACGGGGGCCTTCGGGGCGACGGCCTTCACGGCATCGGCGGCGACGATGGGCTCCTGAGGGTAGGGCACGCTGGGAATGACCACGCTGGCGGGGGCAGTCTCATAGAAGGTGGCAGAGCTGTAGCCACCGCCGACTCCCACCTGACCGGGAATGGTCACCTGGGTCACCTGGTGCTGTCCGCTCACCACTGCCTGCTGGGGATGGCCACGTATGGGGATGGAGACGTAGCTCGGCTGCAGGGGAATCTGGGCGATGTGAGCAGTGGATGGCTGCACTTCTCCGGGGCCCACAATTTGAGGGCGCGGGTAGTCCACCGAGTAGGCAATGGGTTGCACTGCTGACTGGGGGTGGGCAGGGACGGGCTGGGCGATGGCGCCGCTCGGAATGAAGCTGACCACGGCCTGTCCTGGCTGGGGCGCAAGTGGCACTGCCGCCGGTGCGACTGCTGGCTGGAGGGGAGCACTGTACTGCGGGTAGGCAGGCTGGCTCACCTGGTACGCTGGGGCTACGCTCTCAAGGCCTGCCTCGTGGCTGGATCGGGGACTGGCGAAGGACTGCTGTTGGGGCTGCACGGAGGCGCTCAGGTGGCTCACAAAGTGGCCGGCGTGCACTGGCGGTTGAGCAAAGCTGGACACTGGCGCTGGTACAGGCTGGCCGACGTAGCCAGTCTGGGCGACGTAAGCCTGCTGGCCGACGAAAGCCTGTTGACTGGAGTAAGTGCTCGGCTGACCCACTGCAACCACCGGTGCGGCCTGGGCGGCTGGAACGGCTGGAGCGACTGGCTGTGCCACTGGGTACTGCTGGTTCACCTGCTGGGCGTAGGCAGGGGAGGAGGGAGCAACCTGCGCGGCAGCTGGAGAGGCCTGCTCACCGAATGATCGGCCCCAGACGAGTGGCACCGTTCGCGTTTGAGTGTAGAGGGGTGTCTGCTGGGCGTACTGGTACGTGTACTGGTAGGGCCGCAGCTGCACCTGCAGTGGGTATCGGTACACCGTCGTGTACGGGTAGTAGTTGGAGTACTGCACGTTCACCGGGTACTGACTCTGAAGGGGCCAGCCCACCGGTCGGTAGCTGCTCGGGTACAGCAGGGTGGTCGAGTGGGCCACTGCGGCCAGGGTGGCCACCAGGACGATCAGACGGAGCTGCAAGGGTGGAGGAAAGGGGTGTTAATAATAGTGAAGCAAGCTAGTTGGCCTACTAATCTCACCATTTTCTTGCGGTGATGAATCTTCTCCTTGAGATGAGATGAGCTGAGCTGCTGTCAGAGGTACTGAACTCCTTGCTTGGCAGGCGTTCTTTTATACCCGAATTTGATGATGAGTTGGATGNACTTAAGATGAGATGAGCTGAGCTGCTGTCAGAGGTACTGAACTCCCTGCTTGGCAGGCGTTCTTTTATACCCGAATTTGATGATGAGTTGGATGTGCCGGCAAACCAGTCTTCATTGCTAACCCTCTCTGTCATGGTCGCACTAGTTACGACCACCACCAGTCATTCAGTGGCTTATCACCCGCCAATCTGTCTGACTGACTGGCCTTGTAACCTGTTCTCCTGCTTCGTCTACACCGATCTACTTTGAATTGCAACGATTCTCCAACGCTGATTCTGTCACTACTTTTAATTCAAATCTGATAACACGTCAATTCGTGCTTAGCAACAGAACCGGTGACTGCAGGCGACACATTGCAGGGCGATTTTAATTAATCGTCAAACTGCCAGACAACTTCAGGCAATGACTACTGGCGATGATGTTTTACTGTCCATTGTCATTATTCACTTTCCATAGAGAGAGAAAGTGTCCCATAAAGTCACTCTGTACTAGCTTCAGCTTTTCGGGTTAGTAACCCATTCATGAATGTTCTACCTATAACAACTTATCTCAGCTGTCACCAGTATTTGCTATCAGTTGATACACAGAAGCCATCTATATTTAGCAGTCTTCAATTTGAAGTACCCTTTCAATTCAGTGCAGGACACTGAAGCAGGACAGCTGCTACCTGTCGGAAAATGCTAATTAATTTTAAAAAGTGTCAATTGAAATTCACTACTACTTTCTAGTGGCAACCACTTGATGTCCTTCACAGCGATCACTCACACAGCAAACTCGTTCATTGGCTGACCTGAACTGACTAGTGTACTGGGTGCTTTCCTCGACACATACCAGACACTGAAATGAGCTGCAGAAGCAATTTCTACAGTTTCACTCATTGCAAACACGACTACCAAAAAAATCTAAAGTTGCAAATAAACACAACGATTTAATTTAGTTTTCAAAAGCATAAAGTTTTTTTCAGGCAGAACGGAAACAAGTGATTTTAAGCACATTTCATTAAGAAGATGCAACGAAACAGACGAATCACACTGGTAATGGCCAAATGGTTTTAATGGTTAATAAAATATAAATTCTTTTTAATTAGTTTTACATGGAAGTTGCAATGACTTATTACAATAACATACGGTACATGATCAAGGAGGGAAGACCGTGGTGGAGAGGAGATGAGATGGATCAGATGAGGCTCATTCATTCGGCTGAGGTCTAAACGGCAATTTTTTAGAAATGGCAATGGCCGAACATGTGAACGACCATTTGGTGGGGTGATGGGGAAGGAGACAGTGAAAGTGAGACGGTCAAATGACAAGTGCAGCCACGCGTGCCGAGACATGGAAAGAATGTCGATGGATGTGGAGATGATGAGTCGCATTTGGGGGAAGGGAAGGATGGGAATCGAAGGTGCGGGCTCGATGAAGGCTGTTTAGTGTCACTGGCCATGCGAAGCTTCACTGGACAGTTCACAGGTAGATGAGTCTCGTGTGACAATGGAAACTATACAATGTGTTGGTGTGGGTGTGTGAACGGCTACAAAAATAATCAACAGAAGAATAATAACTAGTAGTAGTCAAATGTAAAAAAGTAATAAAAAGGAGAAGGAAAGAAGACTCACAGCTTGAAGAGGGAGAGGAAGAAGAGAGATTAGAGCAGTGATAACAAAAGTTGAGAAATCAGCAAAAATAAGTATACAATGTTTCAATGAGTGCTTTTTGCAAGAAGGGGGGAAAGGATTGGCAAAAGTAAATAATTAAGAGCTTTTATAAAAAAGAAGAAACAGGACAGAGGGCAAGTTGTGTGTTGTAAATGTCTTATCAAACATTTAGATTTTACGTTAAACAAAAAAGTATTTATAAAACAAGTGAAGCTTTGTGAGCTAGGGATAATGGTGCACCCTTACTAAAAGTGCTGAAAACGGCTTCTCTTTTCTTGCCATTTCATTGCCCTATCGATTCTCGTCGCCACCGGAGGTGCATTCAGTGCCCCTGTGACCAGCACTGCCGCAATTGTAGCAAGACGCAGAAGAGGATATTGACGAGTTGGAGGACACTGAAGAGGCGACGGCCTTCGGTAGATGGTCTTCCACGATGATCGGCTGGCCGGGAGGGAGGCTCATGTAGGGAATGGGTTGCGCCAGAGAGCTACCTCCCGGAGGGGCGCCAGTGGCATCACTTACGAAGGGCACGCTGATTAGCGAGTTGGGTGGGAGGCCGGTGGCCGCTGAGGTGTACAGATTGTCCAGCTTGATGGCTATGGGCTGCTGATTGGGAAGCGACATGGGTGGCGGCCCAGCGGCCATCTTTGCCGAAGATGGTGATATGGTGGGCGAAGGTGAAGTAGAGGTGATCGACGGGGGAGAGTTGATTCGCAGAATGGACATATTCTGAATGACTGCATTCGTTTGGTTGGCCACTTGCGCCGCGGCGGATGCCTGCGCCGTCGGTGGCTGAGGAGTATATGTTAGGTTTGCTATTGGCACAGTGCTTGGCATGAACGCAGACAGTGGAAAGGCCGCCGAGCCATGAAGTCCCGCGGCGAGGTGAGGCATCGGAGCCTGCTGCGGAGGCGGCGGGGGCGGCGGTTGTGGTCCTTTCCCTCCTCCGCTGCCCATCCCTGCGCTGGCCTGATGCTGCGGCCCACTGCTGTAGTAGTGAACCGTCTGAGATTGCGGCTGAGTATGCTGTGGATTGTGCTGAAGGTGCTGCGGCTGAGGAGGTCCACCCTGGGAGACATAGGCGTTCTGGCCACTTCCCATTTGCGGTGGTCCAGCAGAGGCGGCGACGGCAACAGATGCCTGAGAAGGAGGGGGCGGCGGCGGCTGTTGAATGGCCGTCAATCCGACCGTCGCTTGCTGTAGTGCCGCCTGAATGTAGTACGTTTGCACCCCCAGGTACACCTTCTCTACGTCCTCCTTCTGCTTGATCATCAGATCGCGCTCTTCGTACGTGAAAGCGGGGTGGTATATGGCCAACGTAAGCAGAAGCAAAATCTCATTGAAGAGCGTGTCTACGGGGATATTTTTGGGAATATATACATTGTAGACGGCGTTAAACAGTGCTTCGGTGGTCAGCTGTTTACTGATAAAGTTGTAAGCTAACGATGAGCACTGGTGACTGGTAGAATGCAGCAAGCATAGTGAGATGATGAGTTTCGACCGAGAGGGATACTTGGTGAGGAGCATCTTTTGAACGGCATCAGGGCCCGGCACCGCAGAGCCATCTCCATTTCCATTTATCTCCACATCATCGTGATCGGGAGAGGTTTTCTCCATGAGTAGATCACATTTGCAGATTTGTTCAAGCTCTTGTCGAGAATTCGCCTTTGACTCGGCTTCTCTAAATGCGCCACAGCTCTTTTTGGCGTAATCCTGAATGAAAGTTTCGAGGTATCGCACCTCCAGAGGTATGCACATTGACACGATGCCGCAGATCAATTCGATACGTTTTGATCCTGACAGCGTCTTAAAGTAGGCAAACACTTCCTCCTGACACGTAATCATTGTAGTGGTTTTGTGGTCTTTCAAAAGTTCAAACCAAGAAATGTTGACGTTTTGCACCGCTGAAGTTGAAGTTCAAGTGCAAGGTGATGAAGAGACGCAAAGAAGGACAAAGAGTGGAAAGTAGTTTTGATGCTCCAGATGATACATTAAAGGAAACAGGGTGATTGCAGTGGTTGACCAGAATACATCTGAAAGAGGAGAGGAATGCTTTAGAAAGAATTGGAAACCTGAAACCGAAGAGCACATACAGAAGACAGAGGGTACCTACGCACACTGTTGTGTGGCCGGAGATGAAGAGAGGATCAACCAGAGAATTGTGACGTGGCCTGGCACCAGACGATCGCAAAAGTGCCAACAGCAAAATGGCGAGACAAGGGCGACTTGCAACAGCAGCAGAACTGTGGAATCAGCAGCAGCAGTGTCTGTGCGGATTGGAAACACACACACACAAGCACAGACACACACAGACAGACCGACAGACCGACACAGCAGCGGCAGCAGCAGTAACAGCAGTAGCAGCGAGGAGCACTAGAGCACACGCGTGGACTGGTGCTGGTGCTGGCGACGGTGGTGCGCTTGCTGGTGGTGGTGGTGGCAGCGGCGACGGTTGCCGCAGATCCAAGATGATCAATAGACAATACCCGAGACGGGCTTCACGGCCAAGGCGCCAGCAGTGTGGAAAAGAGAGGCAGAGAATGCCGCACTCCAAAACAGCCGAAGTGTCTCAAATGTGGTCAGCAGAGTGAGTAGCTTGCGGTAGTTGTTGCCAGAGCGTCTATTCAATCAGTGGCACGGTGGTGGTGCTGCTTTTCGGCGGAGGCGGCTTCAGTGCAGTGAAGGCGGTGAAAGTGGTGCCCAGGCCTTACACGCACACTGTCATCGGCACAGTTCCATCGTCTACGGCAGTCTGAAGAGGAGGCCACTTGGACCAGGGACCGGAGCGGATGTCGAGCGAGAATGTGAATGCTGTGACGACGGTAGCACGGGGTGATTAGGCGAGCAAAGCTGATATTTTGTTTGCTGCAAACAGCGAACAGTCTTCGGCTCAACTAGCGGCACACCACGCCGAGAAGTAGTGGCAGCAGAGTAGAGTACTGCTACAGTGCTAATGCCATCTGGTTCAAACGCAAAGGAAGTATATTTTATTTTACAAAACGCAACAAAAGAAGAAAACAGATTCCAAGTTCTCCAAATCATTCAAGTCACAAAAGGGGTTAAACGTTACTCTTTTTCTTTTTCTTATTTCCCGTCGGTTTGCGCGTTTCATTCGGGTTGACCATTGCTTTGCGGGTGTGCGTGTTGACGCGCGATCCACGACTGTAGACGTCATTCACCGAAAAGGGATTCGAGCGAATCAAGTAGTCTGGGTCGTTGAGAATTGAGTCCACCGTCAGGTGTTTCTTCTCCTGTGTGGCCAACTTTGACTTTCGCTGCTGAGGCGCCTGTTGGTCCTCGCAAAGAATGGGATTGTTGACGTGCTTGCCAGCTCGCGGCATCGGAAGCGAGTACTTGGTGCCGCGAATGTTGATTGGCTTGTTGAAGTTGATGTGCATCTTTGTTGTACCGTCAGCGTTCACAGTCACTGAAACGCGCTTCAGCGTCTTCATGTTGCCACAGAACTTACAAAACTGGTTTGCAGTCGGAGGATTGATTTTGAAGCAGGCATAGCAACGGAGAACGTACTTCCGAGTCTGACGAATGTGCAGTCCATCTCTGGGCGAGATCACGTTAAGGCCCATTTGTAGAAGAACATTCTGCATGGCGTAATCTCCGGTTATACAGCCGATCTCCAGCTGATCGTCGGTGTTCTCTTCTATTTTGATGCCCATCAGTTTGTGGCGAATCTCCTCACAGTTCTCCTTTGTGATCCAGCCTTCATCATCATCGATCAAAACCTCCTCTTCGTTGTTTTCTTGCTCATCCTCCTGAGTACTGTCATTTTCATTCACTTTGTCTTCATCGTTTGTTTGCTTTAGATCTGACTTAAGCCGATTAGCAGCGGTGTCATATCCAAAAAACTGCAAATCTCGAAGAGTTGCATCTTTAGATTTTCCAGACGACTTTGTGGGCAGAACTTTTATTTCGGCAGGCGTTTCCTTCAGGTTTACGCCGTTATTGATCTCCTTTTCAAGGCGAACTGTCAGCGCTATCACGCGCATATCGGTGACAGAAAGCTGAGCAAAATCTCCCGTCTTTTTTGCAAAGTTGGCCACAAACTTGAGATCATCTTCACTCGGCTCACGGTACTTGATCTCATAAGGAAGTACTTGAAGAGATTCTCGAGTTTGCTGGTCTTTGATTTCGTCCACAACGTTAGGAATCGTGTAGATTTGCTCGCCGTAGTCCTGTTGGAACCAAAATGGCATTATAAGCATTTGCAATGGTGATCAAAGTTGGTCAAAGAAGTTACCTGCACTGGCGATCGCAGAATAAAGGCGCCCGAATCGACTACGAGGTGTTTCACCTTCTTGAGGTTCATGCTTTTAAGCAGTATTCAAGCAGAATTGAAATAAAAACAGTTATCAAATGGAAGAATCCGATTCGGTTTTATCAGAATCTGTTATGATGTGTGTTGCGCACGTGTTTTGCAAGTGAGATTTGGCCTGTGACTGTCCTGCAATGACGTGCTAGCCAGCTGCAACTCAGCCCAAAATCAGTCAGAAAGAGAGAGAAAGCTGGCCAATCTCAGCTGTACTCTCCGCCACCTGCACCGTCAACTGCAACTGCAATCATCCATTACTGTTAGGTGTTGCCAAGTTACTCCACTTCGAAAGACCGCAGAGTCCAATGAAGAGGGCCAGAAAACACTTCATCTTTCCTCTTCTTGACTCTCTTCTTACCCAGGAGCCACTCCATTGCATCGCATTCTTTCATCTCGGCACCAGCAAAAAATGAATGCACCATGAAGGAACGTTAGCTGTGGTGAGTGGAACCAGTTGTTCTGAACTTCTGTAATTACAACTTCAATTTCTCTGACAGATCTTTTTTTATTCGGGCATCGCCAGCAAGAGCTAGCCCTCAGCTTTTGTAACAATATACAAAAAGCATACCTGCATCCAGTCATTTTGTTTGCCAAACACCAATCGTCTCTTTCAACCCTCGAGTCCACACCCGAATGCTGGTTTCTCCTCTGCGCTATGTCTGCAACTGAACCACCGCTACTTTTTGTGCACTTTCGGACCAACTCTTCAATATACTTTTTTCGTTGTTCNAACTTTTGTAATTACAATTTCAATTTCTCTGACAGATCTTTTTTTTATTCGGGCATCGCCAGCACGAGCTAGCCCTCAGATTTTGTAACAATATACAAAAAGCATACCTGCATCCAGTCATTTTGTTTGCCAAACACCAATCGTCTCTTTCAACCCTCGAGTCCACACCCGAATGCTGGTTTCTCCTCTGCGCTATGTCTGCAACTGAACCACCGCTACTTTTTGTGCACTTTCGGACCAACTCTTCAATATACTTTTTTCGTTGTTCCCTAAACAAGTAGCCTTCTAAAGTCAACTAGAAGAATGGCTGATACACAGAAAACCCATCTGAACGGCAGTGGCCTTCACTACTCCAGCAGCAACAACTGCAAGGATATCTCTGCGCCGCCAGTCGACGAGGAAACGCTATCTCGCCTGGAAAGCCTTATGAACGAATTCTTCTACCCAAACACGAGCAATGAACGTAAACGACAGATCGAGTCGATCCTTTCTGAGTTTAGTTCAATGCCAAACTCATGGCAGGCATCGTTTCTGTACTTTGAGCTCTCAAGCAATGAGTACACCCAAATGTTCTGCCTAACTGTGATCGAGACCTTCATCAACCAACGCTGGCACACGGTGCCTAGTGACATGCGAGCCACATTTCGAAATTCACTTTGGAATCATCTCATGGAACACCAAGCTCAGATGACCAATCCAATTCGGAATAAGTTTTGCAAGATAATGGTTTCTATTGCGCGCTTCGATTGGCCTTACGCTTATGCTGACTACATGACTAATGTCCTCGAACTGCTCACGCCAGAAAACGTTCACAACATTGCACATTCCTCTACCCATAGCCTCATTCTGCTTAGTCTTAATCTGCTCGGCATGACCGTCGAAGAGCTTACCTCTCCCTCCTGCAACAACCACTTTTCTTCGAACCGCCAAGTGGAGCTGATCAAACTAGTAGAGTCCAATTTACCCGCCATGTTGCACTCACTCACTGCACTTCTCGAGGTGATCATTTCTAAGCAAATAAACTTCATTTCCGCCACTCCTCCGCCTTCACCTACCAGTAGTCCGTCTAGTACGTTTGGAAATCTCAACAAAGGTATGCCTATTCAAGATTAAAACTCACGTAAGGGTTTCAGTACGTTTTCTAATCATTACATTTCGTTTCACTAGCAAATGACACTTTAAACTCAGTCTTCCAAATGAGCATAAAGAAGGGCCTCTTTGAGAGCATTCCAGACATGGACAGCGACTTTGTTCAAATGACCGCCCAAATTTTGTCTTGTCTTTCGCGAATCATTGCCTTTATGCCTTCAACTTACTACAGTAACTTGAACCAAACACTTCTCTCTGCGCTATATGTTTTTGCCAACTTTGGATGCTTCAACCCTTCCTACAACTCTGCCAAATTAGGCCTTGCTGCGATGGTTTGCATCAACGAGCTAATGTCCAAGGCCAGTGCATTTAATTCCGACACAAATGAGTTTATCTACAACGTTTTCCACAACACTTTCCTCATTCTTCAGCGTATCATCACTTCAGTTTTGAAGGTTGTTCCAAATGGCGAAGATACATCTCTCACCTCTGAGCCTGATGAAGAATATCTTAAAAAGTTTATCGACTTTTTGAAATTGTTTATCGGTGGTCATCTTGGTCGATTTGAAAAGTTCATTTCCTTCCCAACAAAAGATTTTCTCACTCTACTACTTGAATTTACCACAAAAATGCACCATTCCCTAGAGTGTTATCTCATGCTTCTCGAAGTTTGGTCTATCTATCTCGACTATCTTGAATCTTGTCAAACAGTCAAACACAAGGACAAGGGCGCCCTATCTGAAAAGCTGCAGGAAATTAAAGAGCCCATATTTTCGCTGTTACTCTTTATGATTCGATCCATTCAGTACAGCTGTAATCTGGAGTACCTTCAACAGCTGGACGACTGCACAGTGGACGACGATGACCGGACAGAGTTTGAGCAGTACGTGCAGACATCAATTGAAACAATTGCCAAAATAGGTGATATTTACTCGGAGGAAACAATAGGCTATATTGATAGTTACTTCAATGAGAAGCTTCAGAGCATTCACTATGGCTTGGAATTTTTCGTCAACAACAAATCGGCAGTCGTACTGAATGGTCATCATAGCAACTCAAGTAGCGGTAAATTATTTTCCGCCGAAATGTGCCAACAACCTCTAGGTCAGCTGCAGCTGAGCATCTACGACTTTATCACTACACTACAAGTCATCTCTCGCTTCAGCCACTGCTTTGTGGATGACAACTGCTTTGAGAAATACTTCTCCCGAACGAGGCTGATCTTTGACAAGCTCTTTGAGATACTGCAGTTTCTCGAGGCGCAACACTGCTGTGATGTGCACCACCTGAACGCTCTGTCGGCGGAGTTCTTCCTCCTCAAGGCACAGCTGCTGGCCACCTTCAAGGCGTACATCGTCTGGTTTCAACAACTGTCCTGTCACTCGCTCTCACCCGACATCAAAGCCACCGACCCTGCTGTCCTGCTGCATGGAGGCGGTGTGGAGGGAAGCACCGCTGCCACTGAAGCCATGCTCACCACCATCTTCAACACGTGCTCCTCAATCATCTGTGATACTAGTCTGGTCGAGGTGCGTCACGGCGCGGGGGAGGTGACTCTCGCCAAGAGGAAGCTCTTTCACAGTGCCGCCCTCACACTCAACACCTTCTCCACCAATGTCCGCCCCGCAATGGTGTTCGCTCTCAGCTCGGTGCAGCGACTCTTTGACCAGAACATTCTCGCCAATGTCCTCCAGTTGTGTGATATCAACTCGAACATAAACGACTCAAGCAGCGGCAGTCATGGCGGATCAGTTCAGCAACAGCAGCAGCAGCAGTCCTCTTCAGGGAAGGATGGTAAAGGAGTTGGGCTGCAGCTAGATTGTAGCTCGCAGCCCTCAGTCAGCGTCACCGATCAAATTTTAATCTCTCAGGCCATTTCCAATCTGCTCATTCTCCCGTGGTTTGCACGACAAAATGACTCGCAAGAGTGGGAGCGAAGATCAGTGTGCCTGAACCACTTTGTGGTCAACTTTCTGCAACTGTTCAATAAACTCAACTTTAGTAGCATCGAACTGGCCGATTCGGCACTTCTTTCCAGCAGCAAGTCTAGAGGGGGAAGAGGCAGTGGAGATGAAAATCGCAAATGTCCAAACGTATTCTGTCGATCACTGTTCATTCTCCGCAAGGTCATCAAGTCGCACACTGACTCACCGGTAAAGAGCAAGCAGATGCTCTTTTCTTCACTCGACTCGTCACTGGAAGCGTTCACGCAGTTACTAGTGCACAACACCTTTCTCCACACCACCGTAGTCGGCTGCCAAATAACGGAGAACATTTTGGCGCTCTTTCTCGTCGTCTTTGACGTGTTGCTGGCGCAAATGCACATTGAGTTTGTCAAGCGGACCATTCAGACACTGCTGCAGATCATTCACACACTCGATGTGCTCTCACCGACAAACGGCGGCGGCGCCCAGCTGCAGCATGGCTCGCAAAAGGAAAATTCCGCATTGAAAGTTATAATCAAATTTCTCCGACTGCTCGGCCTGATCATCAAGCAGACCTCATTCAATGCTTCATTGCGCTTCCTGCTGCCAGGAATTATCGATTTTACGGTGGCGCACATTCAAAGTAACCTGATTAGTGTCAAATCTACCACAAGCATATACTTCAACAGCGTCAGTGGTCAGAGCTATGACACTTACGGCAAATTGCTCAGAGTCTACTATCGCTTTCTCTTTGATCTAGTGCACAACAACTGTCGGTACTTCTTCCCCCAGAGTAATGTCAACAAAATCACCTTTGACTCTGGCAGTGGCGCGACGGGCGAGTCAAACAGTCATCAGCGACACTTTGAGAGCATCATGGAGATATTCGGACAGTCTTTCATGCAGCCGGAGAACATTCAACTGTACCGGCAGAATGTGGAAGCACTGGAGTCACTGAACGGCACTATTCGGCTGTACAGTCGTGCTTCCTTCAAGTCGACCTTCCTCGAGCGCTTTCTCTATCTGTTTGTGCAGACGCTCCTCGACCGATCCCTGGACCTTCTCGATGAGCTACTGTACACCATTGTGTACCACTTGGTGGAGGTTGACTTTGACCACTTTTACAATGCTTTCATTCCCAAGTTTCTCGTCAACATTCAGCACCTCAATGACATGCAACGTTCCGAGCTGGTGGCCAACTTTAACATTGGTCGTCTGCAATCAGCAACACACGAGGCACAGATCGATTTTCCCACCTTTAGCGCCAACCTCAATCGACTACTGTGTGATATTCGATTCTACCACAAGTGCAATAGCGTTTAGCAGTCCACTGGTGATTGCCAACCGTCGCCGCCTATTGCCACCTTCTCACTCTGTTTGCTTCCTTTGCTCAAATTTGCACTTTTTTTATTAGCCTGTATAGTTTTCTTATATATTTCTTAGAACTCACTGTTTTTTAATGTTTTCACTTCAACCAACTCTTTTTATACTTCGAACAAATACAAATCAAAGTGATCACTTCAGTAGTTTGCGGTGGGCGATGTGTAGGAGCTATAATCAGTTTATCACTGATGAGAAGGGTGCTTTTTTCTGCTTAGAATGCAAATACAATTTAGTTGTGAAATGGTAAGCACTTTTGGCGATTCGTACCAATTGATTAGGAGAGCATCTTTGAAGGGCCACACTCTTACCGGTCACTGGCAGTCACTGAAGATCGGCACCGCCTCTGTTTGTGCCTCCGATGTACAGATCAAATATCTGCTCTTGTTTACTGGCAGCGTGGCACATGGTGGCCAGTGTGGGCGACAGACTGGGGTGATCGATTCGCCTGATGCCGGCCTATCAAAGCGAGCCACCAGTGGTAGCGCACTCTCTTTCCAGTCTGTCCAAGTTGGCAGTACTCTAGGAAGCAGTGTGAGTGCCTCCGATTAATTGGTGACCAACGTTAATTGCCTTCAATCTCTGCACTTGTGCGGATAATTGATCGTCAGGAGAAAGGGAGACTGAGGGAGATTATCCTCGTGCAGCCTCCCCCCCCCCAAGTCACTAATTCAATGGCACAATCACCTTGCACTGGACGTGCACTGCTATGCATTTGCCTGCTCGCCTCCTCTTGGGGCACTTTCGGTGCGACAGTCATCACCGGCGGCCCACCTCTGCCTTCCTCCATTCAAGGCCAACTGACCAGACCGACGACTGCTGGCCAATCAGGACTGAGTCCCATCATTCTCGGTAAGTTTCCCACCATTGATGCATCACCATCTTGACAACACATTGCCGATCACAGTGCCTGGCGATGGTGGCAGTCAGATTGAAGCAAAGCTGAACAAGGACGATGTGCCGCACTACTTTTGCGATCGAAGTACTGATTTTTTCAGTCTGTGGCTCAATCTGGAGCTACTGGTACCCTTTGTGATCGACTGCTGGGTAGACAATATGAAGCTCATCTACGACAATGTGACGCGAACGACGCGCAACAACGACGGCGTGGCCATTCAGATTCCCGGCTTTGGCAACACCACTTCGGTGGAGTACGTCGACTCCAGTCGGCTGCCCATCTCCGGGTACTTCAACATCATGGCCGACCAGCTGGTGAAGATGGGCTACCAGCGAGGAGTTGACCTGAGAGGTGCTCCTTACGACTTTCGAAAGGCGCCAAGTAAGTAAAAGTGCAGCAGTATTTACTTGATAGATAGGCACAGCAACTGTGCATCGATCAACGACTAACAGTGGCAGATCTTCTCTGACAACAGATGAACTAGGCGACTACATGAAGCAGGTGAAGGCGCTCATCGAGGAGACCTACCAGACCAACAAGGGACGCAAGGTGGTACTCCTCTGCCACTCAATGGGCTGCTCTCTGATGCTGTACCTGCTGAACCGACAGCCCCAGCAGTGGAAGGATCAGTACGTCAAGTCGCTCTTTACACTGGCCGGGCCCTGGGGTGGTGCTGTGAAGTCGGTGAAGGCATTCGCCTCCGGGGACAACTTTGGCGTCATCGTCGTGCCCACCCTGACCATTCGCGATGACGAGCGCACCTTTCCCAGTCTGGCGTACCTCCTGCCCAGTGACAATGTCTTCGCCTCTGAGAAGGTGGTCGTGCAGACGGAGCACAAGCAGTACACGGTGGGCAACTACGGCGACCTCTTCAAGGACATCAACTACCAGGTGGGCTACAACATGTGGGTGGATGTGAGGAATCTGACGTACGACCTGACGCCGCCCGGGGTCGAGGTGTACTGCGTCCACGGCACCGGTCTGGACACCATGGACAAGCTGATCTACGAGAAGAACCGATTTCCCGATGAGCAGCCTGATAAGATTGAGTACGCTGATGGAGATGGCACCGTCAATGTAGAGAGTCTGCAGGCCTGCAGTCGGTGGAAGGGACAACAGTCTCAACCGGTGCACTACATGCCCGTCAAAGGCCTGGATCACATGCAGGTGCTCTACGACCTCAAGATCATGCAGAACTTGCTCGACCACGCCGCTACGTAAATGGCGGGAAAGCTGGCACTGGTCAAGAAAATTGGATGACTTGCAATAGTTCGATTTGTTGCCGATTATCATCATCATCTCTCCCTCTCAGACAGAAATAGTTTTTTATACATTTTAACTGCAATAAAGGCTGGTTCACTCTTATTTAGCATGATTGCTACATGAAACCGGGCAAGTTGAACCGGTAGACATTCGCCAGTAGTGCGTGTCGACTAAATGATAATTAGACAATTGCCCAATTACACTGTCAGGGCCACTGCAGTGTCACAAACAAGTTCAATCATCGTCTGAGATTATCGTCACATTGACCGTTATGTACTAGATTAGTGCTCTTTCTGATTGAATGCATTTAATGTAAACACTTTAATGAAAAATCAGGACAAATTGTAGGTGTTCTTTTTCACTGTATGCACTTTGGTGGTCACTGTAGTCTGGCCAGTTGGCAGGATAGGTGTCTCAGTGGCTGGCCGACAGAAGATTCGCTCCAGTTCTTTTGCGACAAAACAGTGAGACGGCTTTGCAAAAGAATTTTAAACAGGTGGACTTACAGGCTACTCGATTTTTCCAGAAATGGCAAGTTTTATCTAGAAAATTAAACATAGACTTGAATAAATACTTGAATCTCTCAATCAGAGAATTGGCCAAGTGGCTGAGCAGGCTTCTCTATTGCAATAATAGAAAATCGAACATGTCTAGTAGTTTTTTTAAATCTCTCACATACTTTTCAAAGTTGCTTTTAACCAATAATTTTGTTTCTGGCTATACTCCAAAAGATTGGAGGAAGTAAAAAGAAAATAAAACATTTATATACAGCGAGCACATTTTTCTTCTCATTAACTGTCACTAAAGTGTTCTGAAACATGATTCACAGTGAAATAAGTAAGTAAAATTTAGACAAGAATGTCCTGTATTGTAACTATTCTTTATTAAGTATCATTAACTGGACTGATTGGACATCCATTTGAGACATGTCAAACAAAACTAAAAAGCTAGCGACTTTTGCTTTTTTCATTTTGATTCAGTTCATCTTTGCATTTTTATTTTTTATCAGCGCCAAGAAGTAAAAAGGATGTCAATCAGCTGTCTCAGTAGGCAATGAGCACATTTGCCCACCCATTAACCTCAAATGCTGGCAAATGTCTGACTGATTGCACTCTGCTTGTTCTAATTACCACCAATCGATCACAATTGTTAATTAAAGGACTGATGACCAATTAATCAGATCAATCCACTGTCCAATTTATATCTACCCATTGCTCCGTTTCCCTGCAAAATGTGCTACCACCGCCAGCGGCGACAAAAGTAATTGCGACATTGTACACGAGCCGTACTGTGCTCGTGATGACACTGTTTGACTGGTTCACTGGCAGCACAAGTGCACAACCAGACAGAGAGGAAGGCAAAGTATGCCATTTTAATTCAACTTTGCACTGTGATGCTGTGTGCTAAGAGACGTGCTGGAATTTTCGCTATTTGCCGGTGCCTCTTTCTGGTGCTCAAATGCGGTCAAAGGGGAGAGGATGAAAGCACAGCTGGGCGATGACCAGCACCGGTATAGGTATCTACTGTAGGTTGTGTGTCTGTGTGCTTGTGTCTTCCCCGCGATTTCCCCTAGCCCTGATCCAATTAGCAAGTACAATATACACTGACAACGCTGCACAGTACAGCAGTCACCAAGGGAAGATAACATCTCAGGGGCCCGTATCGGGCGACCGGGTCACTGCGCTGGTCATTGTAGTTTGCCGCTTTCGACGTGTTTAAACGTGTGATGACCAAGTGATAGCTATAAAAAGCACCAGCAACATCAGTGATCAGCACGAACAAACCAACCTGACAAGCCAACCATTGAAGAAACACAAACACAAAGTGATATATCTACAAAATGAAGTTCTTTGCCGTTTTTGCGCTTTCCCTCGCCTTTACGGCTGCCCTTGCACAGCCAGTGACTGATGAAGACAAACAGCTAGAGAAGGCTACAAATGCCGTCAAGTTGGACATGAAGGAAGTAGAGAAGCTGCTGGCTGAGATTGAAGCCCATGAGCAGAAGCCTAAGGACCCCACTGTAAGTGAATCAGTCACCAAGCTATTTGCCACCTTCCGACAGGTGAGTAAGAAGGTGCAATAAATGACAACTGATTTTACTGATCACTTTACTGTCAGGTCACATCTGCCTACATCAACGTACTCAATGCCGTCAACAAGAGTCTCGGTCTGCCCAAGTACCCAGCCATTCCCGGTCTGAGCCGTGAAGCCCGCCAGAGCCAGGACTCCAGCTACCTGCCCGTCCGTCAGATTACCGACAATCTGAAGCAGTTGCGAGACACTGCCGTTGAGGTGGGCAACCTCGTCCGCCGAGTGGTGTCGAACATGTCGGAGGACAGTCGTAAAACGGTTCTGAACCAGTTTCACCGATTCACCGACATGTGGTCAAAGCAGTTGAATGAGATTTCCAGCACTCTGCAGCAGGCGGCCAATGACCAGAAGCAGAGCCGTCAGGATGGTCCTCTGGCCCCGAGCCGAGCCACCATCTTCGACCAAATCAACCGATACATTCAGCAGGTGTCCAACAGCATGACCAGCTTTGCCAACAACATTGTCAATGGCATTCGCAACCGCATTACCCCTACTTCTCCCTCCTTATAAGTAGTAGACCATTTCGCCTACCTCAACACATAAATGGTAAACTAGTTTTACGTCTGAGAAAAATAGTTTCCAGATCATTATACTTATTAGACAAATAAATACCATCTAAACTTCACTGAGCAAGTATGTACAAATTGCATGCGCATTTATCATTTGCATTACAGATTTATGAGCTCAAGGAAGCATGACGCGGCTGCAAACAGTAACCAGAGAAAAGGCTGATGAGGTAGACTGCTTGATCTTAAGTTTGCAGATACATTTTGGTAAATTTCAATGAAATCAATGAGAAATTGATTGTTGTTCCAGTGAATAACATCATCAACTTGCACGGCGACATTTCGCGTGTCAAATTCAGGACCTCCGACGCCGAGTTGCAGTACAATGTAAAATGTCTGGTCAAAAGGTTGACTGACGGTGTTCTCAAAGAAGAGCCGATTATCAAANTCAGGACCTCCGACGCCGAGTTGCAGTACAATGTAAAATGTCTGGTCAAAAGGTTGACTGACGGTGTTCTCAAAGAAGAGCCGATTATCAAAAAAGAATCGAATACTGCTGTTGGTCCACTCCACTGAATACAAGTGAAATGAGTTGGTGATGTTTTGCTTTGTAGAAAACTTGCGCCCCGCATAAGAGTGACCGTGATCCATGCGGTAGTGAAGACCAGCAGAGATGGATTCAGCTTGCTGAGAGTACACCAGTCCATTGATTTGTCCATTGTCAAGCCAGCTGGTTCCACGGTGCACCTTTTCCTTTGGCTTCAATGCAAAAACTGCCCGTAGCAGTTTTCCTTGAGGTAACTTAGCCCGCATCACAAATCGTCCATACTGCCATGCCTTGACAGAGCTCAGCTTGCCGGTGTTGAAGAGAAAGCGACTGCTCTTGTGGTCACCATTCTGACTGGCACTGATCTGCAAACAGCCATCCTTCACTGCTACATTGCTCTGTCGATGGCAACTGTACTGGAAAATGTTCTCCCCTTGACAAAGATTTTCTGGCTCATCGTCAATCTCCCAAGCGTCCGTCGCTGCTCTCAGCTGTTCAGTAGTGATGTCATCAAAACCAAAACGGTCCACTAACGTCCACTGCACTGAAAGTGGGTCGTCGTTGGCACAATGAGCTAAGCCACAGAAAATTAAGAAATGCAAAATCAACGCAGTATTCATGGTCACAAACAAAACGTTCTTATCTCATAGATTCTTGACAATGCATGAACAACAATACATGTGGCTACTGTTTGAAATGAGATCAGCAGCACAACTATCACAAACAGTCTGAAGCACCGACAAACCCTACGGAAATGGCGATCAAATGCGTCTGTCCAGTAGCAGAGTGGCCAGCAGCCAGCCACTGATATGCACTGTCAGTACTGACACCAATTAAAGCTTCCGCATCAGCACACACAAAGCAAGCCATCAGCGGATATTGTAATTGTGGCACCCCTCTCGCCTGAGCGAGTCCATCTCAGTCTGGGCGATATCAACAAGTTGAAGTAATGGGACATTGAAAGTGTGCCCCGCAGTGACCAGTGCACTTCAAGGGACAATTGTCTATTTGACCTCTGACGCGACAACAGCTCACTGTGCAGTGTGCAGCAACCAGTGACTAGAAAAAAGTCGATTAGCCTCGAATGCCACACAAAGTGAAAGTGTAAAGTTGATAATTAAATAATGCCTACTGAGCAAGAGGCAGCAGACTGTGCTGGCACTGATCCCCGTCACTCTAAGCAGCCAGAGTGTAAAATGTCACACACGACGGGCGCCTGGGATTCCAATAGTAGCTACTACTTGTCACTTAATTGCAGTGCACCGCTCAATGAGCTGGTTGACTTGCCTCGCAGCCCCCTCTGACACCGCTTACACAGTTGGTAGTTTCCGAAGTTCAGCGGCAGCTGGGCGACAGTGAGACGGCGGTAATGCAAACACTGCATGGAGATCACCCAGTTTTGCAGAGTGTGACTCACTCGCCAAAGGGCAGTGTCGCCGTCTTCCCAGTGCCATTTATATGCCGCAGTAATAACACTCGCTCTACCCGCAATGGTAGTGTCTGCAGCTGTGAACAGTACTGCAAAACGGCTCATAAGACTCATAACCGGTAATGCGAATCGAGTCGCAGACGACAGTGGATGTAGAGTGTCACGAGTCTCTGCGACAACGACGGCAATGATTTAGAGCACCTTGGGCACAGTACTATTAATTTGCCTATTGATCTCTAAATGCTCATAATTAACACGGCTGAATGTGCTATGCAAATGAAATGAAAGTACCAGGAGTGCCTGACAGGAAAAAGAAACAGAAAGAGAGAGAGAGAG